GCGCCGAGATACATGTGATGACGAGCAAGATCGTTGCCGCGAACAGCAAGAAGGTGCCGAAGTGGTGAAAGAAGCCAGTGACCGCCATTGTGATGATATTGCTTCAAGCAGCTAGCTTACTTTGAGACGCGTGGGAGCGTTTGAGACGAGTGTAGTACGAGCGATGTGAGAGGACGAGACTTGACCAACGTCGTGAGGAACCGAACCAGATTAGAGGAATGCAGAACAAAGACGGCAGGATGTGGCTGGGAGGGGGGCCACGAGCTTGATATAGAGCAAGCAGTCTGCGTTTCAAGGCCAGGACATGGGCATGCCAGGGTCCAGGGCCCTCCCATCATCCTTGATTGATGGCCACGGAGGGGAGCGATCGCAGTGTATCTGGGGATGCCTTGGCACTGGCATGATGGGCCGTGTACAGGGCAACCTGCGACGTCATCCTGAGCGGCTTGGAAGTGTGGCTCTGATCAGCTTAGCGCAGAGGAAGACTGAAGAGTTCTTGTGATGGCCAGACCCTTGCCAAACAAGCGCAGGAATTGATTCACGGGTGCCACAAGAGAGCCACACGGAGGCTTCGTTGCGATGCCAGGTCTCAGTCTCTTGTTTTCGGCCCCTGCGTAGCCCTGCCAGTGACGTACACGTGTAGATTGCGCTCCAGACCTTGAAAATGGCCCGGTGACCTCATTTTTGAGCCGAACCCCTGCGCTCAATGTGCAGATGGTGGTAATTGGCTGCCGCTCATTAGCTAAGGAAATGGAAGCGACCCTGGGCTGCAGGCCAGCAAGGCCACTTTTAGCGGACCCTCCTAGAGGAAGATGGCGCTGCAAAAGCCAACGTCACTTCAGCTTGTCCGGCACACCACAGCCGCGATGCTTCGTCAAGCTCGTGTTTGCATCGTCACAAAGAGGAAATCAAAGGCGCTAGAGAGGGGGCCGTTGGAGTCTCGACTCCATTCTTGACATCACGCTGGTTGCTCATGCTCTGAATCTAGATTTAGAATGTCGCTAGCATTTCATTGATGCTCTTACTATCCCGTAGACAGTCTGATACATACAGCACGGATGCAGGCCTCCTGCTTCATTCGTGCCTGAGGGATGAATGTCGGTTGTTTCGAGTGAGGGGAAGATCCTGTAGAGGGAACATCTGCCCTGCCACAGAGCTCCGATAACGACAACCGAGCAGCTCCAACTTCTGTGCGCACATCAGGGAACACCTTAAATCTGAAACACAGCGTGTTGCGCCTGGTGATCCAAGCTTCTTTACTCCCCGAGATGTTCATGAATGGCTTGAGGGGAACCCGCCCTTGATTTTCATCTCAATTCTCCGGTTCAGACCAACTTGAGACAAGCCGTGTCTTTTGCGCCCTCGATCATGATTCGTTGGTAGAGTATAGCACAATTGCACACGCGGCAGTTGCTTGTCTTTCCGTGGATCCATTTTCTTGGACCTGTAGTGCTATCATGAACCACTCGACTCTCTAGATCTGGTGTTGAGGACCACTGCCGTGGCAAAATTGCGCGGCTAGTGCCTCCACAGCCGTTGGGAGGCCCCCACAGGCAGGAAGTTGTCAAATCGGCCACCGTGGATATTTCGGTGCCCTTGATCTGATCGAAGTGAGATGTTCAACGTTTGTAGCTGATTCGGATGTGTGGGATTTCATTCGTCTGCGTCCTTGTCAGCAGCACTTGTTGTATCCGCTTTGGGCTGCCTCAAGCTCTTCAGCTCCGTAAGAACCATCGGTTTCCCAAACATCACACCAGTAGACTTCTTGCGCCGCATCATCCGCTCTTGGATATGCGCCAATTTTCCATTCTGGGTCTGATTGCGCATGTTTCTAGCGTCATCCGACAGCTGGCCGCCTGTTTGCCAGTCGCAGAACGCCTCCCAAGCCATGATATTCTTCGGGACAGCTTTCTTCAGTGCAGCAAACACAAATGTCTCTTTTGAACCCTGCTCTTTGGGCCATGGCCCGTACAAAGGTGAATACCGTATCGTTGTCTTATGTCTGTAGCTCTCGTTCGGGAAGACATGGACGGTGAAGCGCGTAGTCTCCTTGTCGAAGGTCTTGTCGATGGAGGAGGCTGTGCTCGTAGTCTCTATCGAGTTGATCTGGGGGGCGACGCCCAGCTGTCTGGAGCCAAACAGTGATGTGCCTTGAGACAGGCCATCGAAAGGCTCGGCAGTGAACTGGAACTTTATCGGACTACGGTCGATGAGCTTGCGCGCCGTGTCGCTCGTTGCGGCAACCGAGATAAAGGACGCTTCGTTCTGCGGGTTGAGGACCGGTCAATTCATTGTCCTGTTTGATACATTGCTTCGAGGATGATCGCCACAACTTACGGCCAGTTTCTTGAAGACCTCGATCTCGCCAGAGCGCTGTAGAGCTTTCAGAACGGCTCTGCGCTGCG